AGGCATCATTATAGTATTTGATAGAGAAATCAACCCTAATGGCATCAAATCGGCGCAGACGTGGCCGCGGTGACGGCACCCCCTGTAATCAGCGCACACACACCGCGAGCGTCTCCGCGTTTGGTGCCAGCAAAGCCCAGAAGCTCTTTGAATTCCCAGGCCTCTGGATCATCTCCAGCGCTGTTGCCTCCTYCCTGTGACGTGTTTGGGTCTCACCGAAGGCCGCACGACTGAAGCACAAGGCCTAGCACCAGCGGCAGCCGCCACTCTTGCTCTTGACTTCCAGCCTTTTTAAAACTCCTTCCTCTTTTCCCCGCTGACCAGAACCGGGAACAAGTTCAACAGGGAGCGCGAGTGGTTTCCAGAGCAATTCCTTGCYGTACTTGGAGAGGGAACTGCAGCTCATCTTGGTGCTCAGGATCAGAAGGCGCCCTGAGGAGAGCCCTTCAGAGGGAGGCAGCACCTGAAAGGTATAAATCTAAGGACTAATCTTTAAGGACAGACCTATACATCAGTGTAGGCACTGCGTAACACACCAACCCAGCCCTCAGCAAGGCTGCTCTGCATCCCCTCTTACACCATCAAGGACTTCATATGTTGCACCCCTGGAGGGCTTGAACAGCTGAGGTGCAAAATAGATTGCACTAAGTGAAGCCTTTAATAAGATTTTGATAACAATGATTTTTATGTTTATCTCCGAAGAGTTTGCTTTCRTAGCATCTGACTGATAAGCATATAATCTAGTTTTAATTTAATCTCTGCAGGTATTTCCCAATGGTAAATGTTAAGTTTTTATTGCTGCCTTACTCAGTAATAATCAGAGAAATGTCTGTAAGGCTGCTAGCATCCATTTGTATGCAGATAGCATCAGACTTTATAATAGCTGTAAAACTGACAGAATAGCCTCTAACTTCTGAGATGACATTATAAATACGTGTCAGTGCCGAAGCAAACACRTTTGGAAGGAAAATGAAATAAGAGATGTCATTAGGGGTTTAATGAAACAACCATAACTCTGCATTTATAGGAGATGTATGTAGACAGCGTGGAGCGGGGCCCATGCTGGGCGAGCGGCTCCCGGCACGCGGGACAAAGGAGATTCCCGGCACGGTCCGATGGGCAACACAGAAATGGAGCCTACGCTTCGGTGCTGGCTCCCCATGAACCCCTAAACGCTTGTTCAATCYGAGGTTTTTCCAGGATTATGAATACCGTGGTGTCCAGGAGCTGGTTATGGCTTCTTTCACACAACAATCCTGCATGTGGGAAGAACTCCTGTGGGAAGAGCAGCTGTAATCAGCGAGGACACCCAGGTGCGGAGAAGGGAACCCTGATACATGTCTGAAGCTCAATGCGACTTCCCTAGGGCCAGTTCCCTCAGTGTGAGACCTGGGATGGACTTGAAGCTTAGATCTTGGGCTGGACTTACACTGGGGAACAAGCAGCCACGAAAGCTCCCCTGGGTTAGCGCGTTGAAGGGAGCTCTGCTTTAGGCTGTGCTTCCCTAAGCCGCGCAGGAGCTGCGGGACTTGTGAGCGGAGCTGGCCGGGCGCCAGTGCAGCGGGAGCCGGCTGCGCTCCTGCAGGGACATGCCCCAAACGGGATTACACTTTAACAGAGGCCTCGATATTTCCTCCGTGGCGCTTAGATACGTGGCTCCCAAGGTCCACATTATTAGTCATAAAAGCAAACAGTCTCACCTCTGACACAAAAAACTGCGTTGAAGTCCGTGGGGACAAGGAATGGGAATACAGCACGGCYGCCGCGGCCAGGTGGGGATTTGAAAAGTTGCCACATAGACAAGGCAGGAAAGAAAAACAACAGACTTTTTAACGGGTGRATTAAAGGTACAAGAACAGCTTGGACAGTTCTTTTAGGTTGAGCAACTCTCGGGGCTATTATAAGTCAGAACATGTACGCCGCTTTAAGGCAGTCCTTTGAATGCAGGGTTTTGCTGCTTTCAGTCGTCCACTAAAATGAAAAATTAACCATTATGAGCATTTATTCATTAGAAGGAAAACTCAAATCACTTTCTACAGAGAGCCAAGATGAAAAGCCCTGGACGTGGGTGCGGGTRGAAGCCAGGCAGGTACCAGGCTGCTCCGGCTCCTGCGGTACCTGAAAGGCAAAGCGGATCTACCACGATGTGCCATGGAGAAGAGAACTTAAAAAAGAAAATCCCCGAGGATATATGACATTATTTCAAAAACAAAGCTATCAGATTTCCTTGAAGGAAGCATGAGCTACCTTTTTTTAAAGCTATTCACTACTAAGAACRCATTAAGAGCTATAGGTAAAGCTCAGCTGTATAAAATGTTTAGCCTACTGTCTCCTACTAGTTCTTTCTTTTCTCATCAGATTTTGTAAAAATACATTTTCGTGTGTGTGTAACAGCTCCGGACTGACGGTTCATTAAATGACCTTTCTGACAGCACTACCATAACAATACTTGCCAATATCAGATGTATACTGAGCTAGTGGTGAACCCAGTACCACTCACTCTGCATCTGAATATTACACATGTCCTTTTGCCATGACAGTCTTTGCTGTGCCAGTGTGAAAACGGCAGGAGCTGAGTGTAACGCAGGGTTTCCAATGACCTAAGAAAATCTTCTTCATGACAAACGAGTGGTGAATCTACCAGTATAAAGTATTTAAACAGATGGATAATCACCACAGCAACCCAAAACACTTCCACGACAGAAGTCATTCAGCAGCATTCCCTATCGGTAGGCTCCAGTCTCAGGTTTCTTAATGTGGGCAGGCAATATTTTATGTAAGAGAAGCCTAGCCAGTGTTTTCAGGTAACTTACAGTGGTTTCCAAGATCGGCATAAAAGCAAAAACACCCAGGACTGGCTCCAGGAAACAATTATTTAACTCTTCAGAGAGGAATTTAGTGACTCGACAAGCTTATTGCAGATTCTCAACTTCTCCTATCTCTGCTTCTTTGGACTGCTCTGTATTTCTGGACCTCTGCTCCCCATATGCAGTTTTTCCCTATCTGCACCAGAATAAGGACTAAAATATATATATATATACATATAAAAAGCTTTTTCATCCACCTAAAGACCTGAGTGCTCCTGGCAAGGCAGCAGAGGACTGTGCTGATCCAGCTAGGTGAGCCCTGTGCGTGCCCCTGAGGCCAGGCACCTGCGAGCTTAGCAAGCACCTCTGTAATGTTTTTGCAGATGTGACATTGCTCTGCAATATTTTTGCTTGCTAAACAGTGGTGGCGCCTCCATACCTTTAATACTACMCAGTATCAGGCATAATCTGCCTCAAGGGCTCGTTATTGCACAATTATCAACTACATGGGGCTTTGTGCTCTCTGAAGCACCAGCCCCTGCAACAGAGACAAGAACCTGACTCCTACTCTTGTGTCCACAATAGTTTCCAAATTTCATTGGGGTCAACACTGGGCTTCTAAATTGATTAATTAAAAGAGCCTAGAAAGAAGTGGCAGTGGCAAAGGAAGGAGACGAATGTAATTCTCGATATTCAACAGGTGGATAGGGGGTGTAAATGTTATTAAAGGTATGATAGAAAGAGCAAGCTTATGAAGTGAAACTTATGAAGGGAGATCTAAAACCTGTCTTTGGAGAGTTTGAGTTTTCTTTGTAAGTCAGCCAGATGAACCGGAAAATACCAATTTGCCTAATTAACATGTTTTGAATTGTATTTTTTTTCTAATTTGATCGGTTTATTATTTTCTCTGAAGCATGTTTATGTCTACTGCACTAGGAGCTTCTGCTGAGACATGTTTCCAGATTGAGACATATTACATTTGATGAATACATCATGTGAAAAAAATACATAATTTTTGAATGTATCCTGAAGATTGAAGTCTGCTAGTATGAATAGTGGAAAACAAGAATTCCAGTTTATTTATAAATATGTTAACTCTATTAGCCGATTGAAACCTGYCAAGAAATACAATCAGCAAAAGAAAATCATCACTGTTTTCACTGCATATGTTTTCAGGAATTCTGACAAGATTATAATTTCTCTATATATAGATTTTTCATGTCCTCCATGTATTTTTAACCATAAAATTACATAATTTGAAGCAGAAAGACTGACACTGCTAATGGATCTACTAACAACATCGAAGACATGCAGAGAAGTATGTGGAAAAGATCCTGCCTAGGTAGTAAAATTAAAAGCTGATTTTATTTTTCATTTAGGATCTTCCACGATTTCAAATGGACAAAATACACTGCTTCCTGTCCTGGATGTTACACGACGTGGTTGTGAAATACCAATGGCTGCTGCGTGCGTTTCCCCACTGAARTGTGTTCACTGGTGGGCAAAGGTAATCGGTAAAATATTTTGCAATCCTGCTAGCTGCAAGGCTTAATATAAACCTTGAATATTCATCTGACTAGCAGCAAAAGTCGCAATGTCCTTAATCGTACAGCTGGGAATGATCTTACATGGTAATTAGGGTGCAGCTTTTTTAATTTTTTGGAGGGTATTATGGAGGGCTTAAAAGCCCGAATAASAACAAAGATGGTGACATACTGAATGAGTTTAAGTCCATGGGGGGAAAAAAAGTTAAATTTCATGAAGATAAAACTCAGCAAAGGGAAGTTATGAGGCGACCACGGGAGGACAAAGGTGACGCAGCGACCGGCAGGGCCGTCACCGGCCTCCCCGCGCCGCACCTGWAGCGGCCGCGCGCCCGAGGTCAGCGCGGGGACCACTAGGTTAGGCCTTTTTATTACGATTTATTTATTTTTTCCAAGTCCCCGCAAGGAAGAGCGGGGGTAGCTGTGATTACGGGGAYAAAACGGCAGCCCTCCCCCTGAGGAAGCCGTTCCGCGGCCCCCCGCCACCCCGCACTGACATGGCGGCCGCGCGGGCTGGCGCGGGGGAGGGCGGCGCCGCGGGACGTCTCGCGAGGCCGGGCGGCCATGGCCGCGGCGGGAGGGGGGGCGAGTCCGCCGCCATCCCGGCAGCCATAGCGACGACGCTACCGGCGGCGGCGGCGGCTGCGGACAAAGGGGGCGCCGCGCGCCCGCACCAGCGGCCCCGGAGCGGTGAGTGCGCGGGGCAGGAGGGGGTCCCGCTCTGCACTGTCCCCGGGAGGGCGGCTCGGCCGCGCCGGTGCCGCCGTTATGGCGGCGGGCAGGGCCGTTAGCGCGGCTCCGCCGCTGCGGCCCGACGACGAGGGCAGCGCGGCGGGGGCAGCCGCGGGGCACCGCGGGGCCCTCTCTTGGCCGGGGCAGCGGCGTGTCCGCCTGGCCCGAGACGGGGGGAAAGGGCCGCGCGGCGCGAACGGTCGCGGGCCGCGTCCCGGAAACGCTCAGCGTGGGACTGGGGGGCCTGGAAGGGAAGAAGCGCAGGCTAAAAGCAGATGTGTCCCTAAAAACCCACCCGGGGTCCTCCTCCCGAGGCGGGGGTCGTGGGGTGCACGCAAGGCACAGGTGTCATCCTGCGTCTCTCGGTGTGGATCTCGTCGCTGGAGCGAAATCTGCGTTACTGTCACCTGCTCAGTGTTTGGAAAGCCGAGGGAAACAAAGAACTTAACGCGGGCCTAATAAATCTTAGTGTTGGTGTCAGCTTATGTGAGTCGCAGCCATCCGCTCTAATAGGTAACGCTCCGGGAATGTTTCATCTGCAGAGCGTCCCGGGGACGGTTATTAATCACGTTTCACCTCGGCCAGTAAAGGGGGAAACAAGAGGGTGTTTTGGCCCAGGCCGTGCGAAGTCTCCCCGAGTCGTCCTGCCAGTTTAAACGTGACTCTCCGCCTACACAAATATCTTGCAGAATAGGTGCCTGTATGGATTAGCAAATGGAGGGGAGGTTAGCCCGCTCGCTCAAGGTCACCGCGTGTCGGTGACGGAGTTTGCAGCGATGGAGCCCAGCCATCCCAACCCCTGCTCTGTGCTCCAATCGCTGGATGGCTCCCCCAAATAATTGCAGGCTGTTTAAACATTAGGTTGTGTAAGAGCACGTTGAGGCCTCCAAAAACTCTTGGAGGAAAACAAATATGAACAGACCTGCTTCAGATGTGCTGTGTTTGCGTGGGGTCTAAAGGTAAAACAATTGCTCAGCTTGACATAGGAAAGGCTTCTGAAGAAGAGGTTGTGGTTTATTTGTAAATACATGCTCAAAAGGTACACAAACTTCATTCATGAATTTGCTTGAGTATATCATGTCGGGAAACTTGCTGTGTACGTTTAGAAGTAGACTGAGATATGGTAACAAAAACAGATTGCACTGTAGTTAGTTTTTAAAAACAGAAATGTGGAGATTAGGAGTCTAATGAGGCTATTTTTGGATAAATTGCTTACAGGATGATATTCTTAGAGTTATTTGCAATTGTTTGAAGAAAAGAAAACAATTGAGAAGTCATGGTGATGAGGCTGTTGGAATTCAAAACGAAACAAAAAACTTCCCCATTTAATTTAATTTTTCAGTGGATATTGTTAAAAAAACATTAGCTGAGATTTGTTTTTAGTTCTGAGCCTAGAGGAAAGTTTCACTTCATGGGTTTTTTTTTTTCCTGTCAAGTTAAATTTATGAAGAGAGGGATTTCAAAGCAAACTCWGGCAGATCTGCGCTATTGTGATACAAGCAGAATTATATTTAGTAACTTCAGGGAGGAGAGATCTTTGCTGAGCTAAAAACAAMATTATCAGTGGCAATTGTTTGTATGGACTTCAGAGTGCTGGAAAGCTAGTTGACACTGTTGAGGTGTCCTGTAGTGAGAACCATCTCTGCCAGATTCCTGCACCTATGTAGAGTTTCATTGCGAGTACTAGGAGGATTCCCTCCACACAGCTTATGTCTTAAGACTTAAGGGCATAGATGTGTGTTTTGCAAAGATATGTTTGGGCTTAACCTCCCATTGTGGAGGTAATCGTGGTGCCTATTGACTGAAAATTTAGCCACAGTGGTAAGAGTGTGTGTTGCACTGTGTAGAATGGTGATACTGAAATTTGTTTTAAATGAACAAGCTGGGACACTAAAGGTGGTCTGTTGTGTAACTTCGTTCTGAACCCTTACAGGATTGGTGCTTTAGAATTAGTTTGCACAAATAAGTTCTTAAAATGCAAACTTTCTTGTAAAGATCTCTTAAAAGTTTCAGGTTGACGAGTGCTGTATGAAAGGAAGGCTGTTACTAATAGTACACCAGCAAATCTCTGCATACATGTTGTTTGTAATATGGTCTTTGGGAAAGGTGCTTTTACTGATGTTACTTGGTGAGATATTACAGCTAGGTGACTTCTAAGAGAAAATAATTATCTCAAAAGGGTGCTTGTTGCTTTCATAGAAGTTTCACACAAATTTATATCCTGCATGACACTGCTGTGTCAGCAAACGTGGGCTGTAGGCCTTGGTTTGCCAGGCTTTCCTTCTGCCAGTTTGAGTGGTAACTTCTTATCCAGCCAAGGTAAATAAGGAAAGGAAGCAATAGCAGGATATACTTTTTTAAGATTAGTGGCTTTCAGCCTGCAAGTTTGTGGAAATCCTGGTTTATGCACTACTTTTCTGATGGGTACAGAGGAAAAGGGAGCTGGGCATTAAGCAGTATTTAAATGGCAAGGTATCAACATCGTGCTGCTGATTCAAAATAATCTGGAACACCTAGCAGTAGTTTGCTTTTGGTTGTAAGGTAGTTGGAAGAACATACTAAAATATGTTTTAAAGTTTTTATTAGAAAAGCTAACATTTGATCACTTCAGAAGATTGCAGCATGTGTGCAGGCATGTTTGTAGTATATATAGGTTTGAGAATCTCTGGTTCTAATACAAGCTTACTGCATTGAATTAACTTTTCACAGGATTTTTTAATTAATGTTCTGCCTTTGAGAAGTTTCAGGATGAATTGTTTTATATTTTTGTGAGCAGGTTTTTTTTTCACCATAGATCCTCATATAATCATCTTGTACTTGATGGAACAATGGCTCTTACTCAGCAATAGTAAATTAAGTTGTTAAAGAAATAATAACTAGATTTGTGCAAAATGATTCCAGAATTCTTCTGGAACAAAAAAGGTTTAGTACAATTCTAGCAAGCACGTAGAACCCAAATTGCCATTTACAGACTCTTTTTTTCTTTTCTTTTTTTTTTCCTACACCCTTCTTAATTAGGTAGCAGAACATCAACTTGGAACGCTAGCACTGGAGATTTGTTTTCAGAATATTATTAGTAGCAATTCAGTGAACTGGAAATAAATCCATGCTCTGAAAAGAAACTGGATCTTGGGGGAAAGAGATTCCACTAAGAACCATACTCTTAAATTCTACAATGATGATTTTCGCTTTTTGAAAAAATAAGCTGAAAAAAAAGCTGAAAAGCTTAGATTGTGAATTAGAATCAGAGTCTAAAAATTTGAAGTTGTTAAAGGAACTACACTACTACTACTACTAAGGAACAGTCTACACATGTTCTAATGAACATCTAAATCTGTGTGGTCTTTCAAATATGAAACATCTGTTGATCAGAGAAGTAAATGTTATGGCATTTGTGACATACAAACAGTCAAAATATATATTTTTTTAATGCTAGGGATATGCTTTGCTAGAAATCTTAGAAAATAAATTTCTTCAGGTGCTACTAGTCCAGTGAACACCTGAAATGGACTTTGTTTCATAAAAAGTGAAACTTGCAGCTAGTAAGTCAGTAGGAAGYTAGTTGTGATATTCTTTTAGTATTTTCTACTGTGAAATAGTAGAATAGAAAGGAGACTTTGAGTTTGATTAATAACCTAAAAGAGATACAGTAAGATATGGCATTCTTGGAAAAGATGTATGTACCTGTTTTACTTTGTTCTGTCTGTGGTATGGAAAATCAGTGATGGGTGTATTCAGGAATCTGGTCTTAACCTTATTTTATGAATTAGATTTATGATTATTGCTTGATCAGGTCATGGGTTCTGGTTTTAATTCTGAAGTGACGCTTAATAAAACAAAACTGGGGGTGGTGTCTCTGGGTCTGTTTGACTAGAGATGGTGGTGGAAGAATATCCTTGTTATTTTTCAATCAAATAACAAWTCCAGAATCTATTTAGTGCTGTTCATCCCAGCTATTTTTAAATCTGTTGCCTTTGACTACCATCCAGTTGTAATAAGAGTTTAGTTTAAGCAAGGCATGAAGATGTTCCCCATTCTTTTGTTCTGAATCTGTGACTTGACATACCTCAGTGCCTGTGCAAGCAGCAACGTAAGTTATTACGCTTCAGCCTGGAATGTTTTCAGTAGGTCACTGTGCAGCAAGACTCCTCCTAAATTATGACTACGGCTGTAGTCTTGTGCTTCCTCATCTCTGCTTTGTTTTCTATCRGTGTTAATTTTGTGAGGCAAGGATGGGATTTTGTTATTTGTTTTTTTTTGTTTGTTTGTAAATAACCAATATAAGCAAATTTGTAATGGATTGGGACCCCAAAGTGCTATAGTGATAGACTGAGAGAGTGCTTTTCCATTTACTTAATAGTGTTTTTAACTAGAGGGAAATAGGGTGTGACTGTATTTCTTTATTTTCATATTTTGAAGGAACTTAAATATAGATTCTTAAACATATATATATATATCATATATATTCTTGTATGCATCAGTTTGTTATAGATTTATGGAAATAATCTTCTTTCCTTTTCTCTTTTCCTTTTTTTTTTTCCCCTTCAGAATTGCCAAAATGCTTTGGAATTCTTAAAGGATTCAAAAACTGAAGTCTCTGAGGATACAAAATCATAAGAACACAAGAAGCAGCAAGGAGGATTCAGTGCCAATGCAGCAACAAAAAAGACAGCCAGAGTTAGTGGAAGGAAATCTTCCTGTTTTTGTTTTTCCTACAGAACTTATATTTTATGCAGATGACCAGTCAACACACAAGCAGGTGTTGACTCTTTATAACCCCTATGAGTTTGCCTTAAAATTCAAAGGTGGGTTTCTTAGGTTAAGTTCTATTAAAGGGTTAGTTGGTGATCTTGAAGAGCCTAATTATAACTCATGTAACAAATCATATTGGTGGCAAAACTAAACTTACGTCCATCCATAAATCTGTTTATACAATTAGTGAGATATTCATGTTTTATTATTACTGTTCTCCTTTCCAATTGCAGTTCTTTGTACAACTCCCAATAAATATACGGTGGCTGATGCTGCTGGTGCAGTGAAGCCTCAATGCTGTATTGATATGTAAGTAAAAGTTTGGTTATTTTTTTTCCTAAATATAGGACATCTGAGAATATCTTGTTTTTCTTCATTTTTCAGTGGTAGAAAATGCCAGCATATATAATATAAATTAAATTGGATAAATATATAGTAATTTTCTAATCTCATATATTATTCAGGTTGCCCAGTCTTTGCTGTTCTTTTGTTTTAGGTCAGTGGTACTAAAATACTGGAAAAGAAAAAATATTTTCTTTTTAAAATTTTGTCTTTAAGCATAAGTAATGCTAGCAAATGGATCCTGTAGCATAGTTTGTAAATCAGCAGTGAGAGTAATGTGAGCTTCTTCTTAGTACTTTGTTGTTTCTAAGAAGAAAAGCAAGACCCCCAGGGCTGGGATTTCTTTGTGAGAAATATTTGTTTGCAGATTGGCAAAATGAAAATGTATGAAGTTCTACTGAGCACACTTTCCTGGGACATATTTAATAAAGGTACTTTTGCCTACCTTTCCCCTTGACCACTACTCTTGTTCTCTCTCTCTCTTTTCCTTGTTTCTCCTTTCAGGTCCCAACCTAATAACAGAGAAAAGATGAAAATAGGTTAAGTTACCACAGCAATGTAGGGCCTGTAGGCTGCTATAATTCAAAGCAAAGAAAGCAGTAGATATTTAAGCTAAAATAGCTTGACCTTTTTCATCTTCCGTTTGCCCTGTTATTTCTGTGCTGATGTATGTGAGTTGTGGGTAGTCAGGTATGGCTAAAGGAGAGGATGAAGTACCTGAAGAGCAGACAGAACTCTGCCAGCTCTAAGACTCTGGTATCCCTGGCTGATGAATGGCCATATTTAAAACAAAACAAAAAGCACAACACTGCTAAATGATCTGTGTTTGGCCACTTAAGTATCACTGTGCTTAGGGGACTGGTCTTTTCCTTCTGTTAGTTTTATTAAGTATAATTTAGAAAATTGTAGGAACTGACCAAATAGAGAGGATATTAAAAAAAAAAAAAAAAAAAAAAAAAAAGGACTAATAAGTTTGAGTGGGCAGGGGGGATAATCCTAAAAACAGCACAAAATTGATCAGAAGATACAGGCATATTAGTGAGCTATTCTAGTCTTCAGCAGTTGCTCACACAATATTGATGGCATTCAGGTCATATTTGACAAATGTCTTTTGATAACTAAATGAAAATAAGATGTATACTGGTTCTGTGGGATTTTTTTGTAGCAAAAACCCCACCCTGTTCCAACGGTTGTTGTCTAAGGGCAGTGTTTACTGCTAGGATGTGAGCAGTACTATGTTAGGTATGGCCATTTGCCAGATAAACAGATATTCTACAGAGCTTGTAATTATGCAATGATCTCTAAAAAGAAACAGGAGAATGTATCTGTTTATAAGGGTCTGCAGAGAAACATCTCTTTGCTTGGCAGCAGATGCATGTTCTCATAGCACAGTGTTATGCAAAGATTCTGTTTAGGTTGATACTTAGTAGTACCACAGCGCTAAGAGTAGAAACAAAACTTTAAAACAAAGTGTTAAAGGAAAAAGAAAGTTGATGTCCTGATATGTTGTATGAATTAAAATTGTTGAGGGAAAAAAGCTGTTTGTTTTAGTGCAGGCAGTTGCACAGCCAGCAGTCAAACTACTCATAAGCTCACACTCTTGCTTCTAAAGCCATGTAGAACTACCTGTGTTCCTGCAGGCTTCTAGCTTAGATGACTCGCTCTGTTTCCTTCTCGAATAGTCTATTCGAAACCAGATAACAATTACAAGAACTAGCTCTGTGTTAATGATTGACTTTGTAGATATCTTCATGTCATATAGTTCCTTTACATGCAATCTAAAACATCTGTTTCTTGCAGCTTTTTGATATGTATGTTGTCAAAGATACATTTCCTTTCTTGAAGCAATTTTTTTWAATCAGATTTGCTGTTATTTTCTTTAAAATGTAGAGTAGCCTTTAGGAGAAAAAGTTTTCCACATTCCACTTTGGAAAGAATAATTACAATCCATATTAACCATAATAATTGATATGACTTCAAAACCTAAATGGCATCATTTTTTTAATGGTAGGTATGTGAGTATTTTCATAGTATATTTGCAGAGAGGAGACAGCTGAGCAAAGCACCATTGACAAAGGTCTGTATGGCCTTTGATTGRTGTTATTTTAAAACTGCCCTTTATGGGTCTTCCAGACAATATTTCTATGAAAAACCATAAAGTTTAGCAGGAAAACAACTGAATTAGCACTCGGGCGTTATGTCTGCACTGCAGTCTCAGCTGCGCCTACTCCCTCTGTAGATGAATCCCACCTAACTCCTGCTGGCTAGTGGAGCAGCTGTAGCYTCAGGCATTTCAAGGCTGGATGCAAAACATGCCCATACCCATGCAAAACAAAGCTCATTTTTTTGCTATAGGGTAAATGAGTTTTGCTTCTGAGGAAGCCCTGTAAGTCTTTAAGTGTGGTTTCCTCTGGAAGCCACTTTTGCCATTGCCCTGTCTGTCCACATGTTTGGCAGTCCTGCTCTTCTCTCCTTCCCTGTCCACCCCTGCCCCTCATACCTTTGAAAGGTGCTGGCCAGCATCAAACAACTTATGATAAAGGATTAGGCATCTATGAAACAACTTGTACTTCATGAAAATTGGCAGATAGGTCTTAGATTGAGGCTAAGACTGTGTTCTGAGATGAAGAATTAAATATTCTTTTTGCCCAGCCAGTTGGATTTGTTGCATTTGAGAACCAGAGAACTCTCTCCTGTGCAGCCAGCATGGGAAGGGGAGAGAGGGCAAGCTCAGATCTCCAGGAAGGTTGAGTGGAAGAGGAGGGAATGAGGATCTGGGCTATTGACCTGTATCTGTGTACAGGGCAGAGAGGGGGCACTTGGGTTGCAGGATGAATTTCCACAGGAGAACTAGTTTTATTAGCCCCCCTGTTCAAAAGTGCTATTTTCCTCTACAGTGTGATCCGTCACAGAGATGTTCGGGCTTCTCACTTCGGAGTGATAGATAAATTCCGTCTGCAAGTGTCTGAGCAAAGCCAGAGAAAAGCACTGGGGAGAAAGGAGATCATTGCTACTCTACTTCCATCTGCAAAGGAACAGCAACAAAAGGAAGAGGAGGAAAAACGAATAAAAGAACATCTGACTGAAAGTGTCTTTTTTGAGCAGACTTTGTGTCAACCAGGTAGCTGAAATCTTACTTTCGCTCCTCAAGTCCTCTGAAAGAATTGAATCACTCAAATAACTAGAGAAAAAGTGGACTAAATTAATTCTTGTAATTACTTGCAAGACTGCCATCTTTATTTCTGCGGGATGGTAGTGCTCAAGAACCCAAACTGTGGCTGTTCTGTTTATGATTGAGATCCCTTGCTGCCCGAAGTTTACATCTTGTGCCTTAAAGAATACCTGCTTGCATCCCTCTGGTGCAGAATTTCTATTATAATTCTATAGATTATATTTTATATAGGTAGGTTACATATAGGATCCTGCAAAAGGATTGAGGTGTGTGTGTGTATGTGTTTTCCCTGGGCTCTTTCTTTCAGAACATATGCCCCTTCTGAGTTTGTTCCAAAGCCTTAATCCCCCATTTCCTGATGAGCAGGAAATGGTGCCAGAACGATTTCTAAAGTGCTCCTTGTTCTGTGCCATCTCCCTTATGGGAGTGCAGAGAAGCACAGTTGCTAGCTGCAAACTGTGTTGTGAACATGACGAGGTTCTAGGAGAATCCCCCGTTAGAGAAAGCGAATCTCTAGGAGCCCTGGAACCAGAATAAAATGTTTGAACTGTCTGAGGAATCTGATAATTGGTGTTAATACAAATGGCTTTTCCTCTGTTTAAAAAGAAAATAATGGATTGGCAGAATTAAAATAGGATTTGTTCTGCTATCCTCTAAGAAGATTAAAAAAAAAAACTTGATAGAAACACTGGCTAATTTTTAGTGTGTCTTAAGAACTTGGACAGAGATATTCAGCTAACATTGTATCAGCTGTTTTTAAAGGTTACAGTGTGCTTCTGAGTAGGTTCCAGCTACTAAACTGCAGCACAATAAAGAACATGCAGAACAGAATTTCCCCTTGGTCTGTATTTCCTTACTAATACTGCACTGTCAGTGTGTTTCACACTCTTCAACGTGTCTTTCAAATGCTGCTGCTCTGTGGCATCTGAACTGCTGCTGGCAGGTGCCACCCTTGAATCCTGTGAGGAAAGAAGGGAGCTTATCTGGCCCAAGAATCTCTCCTCTTCTTGTAGCTAGGGTTGGGGGGGGGTTCTGTTTGTTTGTTTTGAGAAGTAAGCACAATCTGCTGCCTGGGCTGCTCCTTTAGTTATTCTTTCCAAATTGGTTACTATTACTGAAGGAGTTGGGATCAAGGCACGAGTTGGGATGTGTAGTGAAACCTCAAGCACCACTGAAACCATCCAGTTGTCATGACTCTGTGTGTGTGTATTTATATTTATATATATATACGCACACACACATATATATATACACACACACACACACATATCTATATATATACACACACACACACACACACACACTTAAATATATAGCCACTTGGCTTCTCAGGTTGTGTTCCAGCAAAAGGGAGGGGTTTGGTAAGTCCTGTAAAAACAAGTTCCAGCATCAGGCTTAGAAGAGGGAGCAACTTTCTTGCTGCAAAATGCAAAAGATGGGCTTAAGTTTTGTCTCATTTCCTCCCTTTCTCCAGTCATTAAAGAAAAAATAAAATGTCCTACTGCAGATACTTCTGCAAAATATTTAACATTTATACTGCTTAGATATTCCTTTAAATGCATATAATTATTTTTCAGAAAACAGAACTGCCTCATCGGGACCTAGTTTACTGACAGTCTTCCTGGGTATAGTGTGCGTTGCTGCACTGATGCTACCTACTCTGGGGGACATGGAAACCCTGGTGCCTCTCTACCTCCATTTAAGTGTGAATCAAAAGTTAGTAGCTGCTTATGTTTTAGGTAAGTATTTTGGATTTTTTAACTGTTTTCCTGCAACTTCTGTGATCCAAGAAAATCTTCCCCAGTTTGCTTTAGGAAACATGGTGGAGAAAAAGCACCACAGTGAACTTCCTTTTGCATATCCACTGACAGACACTGTGTACAGACACTGTGATAAAAGGAAATGGATCATCCTAAGTATTCTGGGCCAAATTTTAGTTAATCTTTGTAATAAACAGGCTCTAGCCTGTTAATTTCACCTTCATTTGGTGACTGGTCAAATTACCAATGCCTACGATCTGCCAGCAAAGCTGAAAGGAATGTGCTGTAGTTTCTTATTCTTACATTGAAATACAGAGTTCTTATACTGCAGAACTTAGAGCTCTTCTGTTATATTAAATTCTCTTTCCAGCCTATCTGACTGGTTTGAAAGTCTTGATATGTAATTTGCTGATAAACTAGCAAGCCTAAAAAAGTTGCATGTTTCATTTGATACGACTATTTTTCTGTAACTGTTTCAGATTTGAAGAACAGTCATACTAAACTCATTCTCCTGTCCCACTACCTGGCATAAATCAGGAGTTAAAGGAGAGGAGCTAGGGAGCCTCAAACTGATAGATAGAGGTGAGGTAGTGATGGAAAAAGATGCAGGTTCTCAGTGGTTAATGCGCACACTTATTTTAATAACTGCCTCGCTCAGTGAAATGGTGTTGAAACTCACCTGACACTAACAAATTGCTCCCATCTTTGTCTGGGATGGTGGTGATGTATTTTTGGATCAGGACCTTGCAGTATCCCTTGCTTTATTTTTAACTGGAGTCTTGAGAATTACTCCAATTTCAGCTGGTACCAATTACAGAAGTCAACTATGTGACTTCATCTATTTGCAACAATTTACCGATCTCGAGGTGCACTATGACATACAAGTTCTTACCAGTTCTGATTCCTTTGGTAGCCGTGTTCTTAAGTACATGGATAGATTCTTCTGAATGCAGCTCTTGTTCACAAAGGACACAGGTTGAGTACCCTTGAGAAGATGAAGACACTGTCTTCCACAGCTAAGAAAAACAGAGAGGTTTAGCCTTTAATTGAAAATGGAATTTTATACCACAACAACTGCACTATGTGACCTATGAGAACTATTTTATGAGAAATGTTTTACAAAATAAACTGTTTATTACCTGAATGTTACTATATAAGTGGTATAGGTTTTCTGTTACGCTTTCTGTAACCTCTGGTGCTAGTCTGCAAGGATTCAGACAGCTTAAGAGCTGAGGCCTCTTTCAGTTCTTGCCATAGTGATTTTCTAAGCTAATCTAYACCTTAACAAATACTTGATCTATATTTTCTATTCAATGGATAAAAGACTTACCTAAGGGAAGGCAGTGTTACAACTTTGTCCTGTCGTACTTGTATCTTTGAAATCTTTATGAAGGAAACAGTTGAAGTTAGTTTATAGTGGTAGGATAGTAAAATAATCTCATCAGTTTTTGTCCATGGTGAGATGTCAGGATGTTAGCTGAACTCTCTGTAGTGAAAGAATATTACATGAGTATTTTCTGAGCCTAGAAGAAAGCACGATTGCCTGAAAACTCAGAAAAAATAAAATTATTGTTTTCATGTTACATAAGTTGGAATTCAACCTATTTTTTTTACATGCCTCCTTGCCTTCTGTAGCATGTGTATTTCCTAAGAATTTGCAGATTTGTGTCTTTTTCTAGATCAGTACATCATTAAAGTGAAGCTCTAGTATGTTTTTAGTCCCACAACTCCTGCTTTCATCTGCTGAAGCCCTCTCTCTCTCTCTCTCTCTTTTTTTTTTAATCTTTAACTATGAGAGCAGTTCTTTCCCCTCCCATTTTAAAGGTCCCAACAAAGAGGCTGTAGAAGACTCCCTGTACAGACCGAGGGAAGCTTAACTGATCAAAGCCGAGCTTTGGACAAAGATGCTATTCTGCACAGAGCAGGAGAGTCTTGTAGTTTTCCATTAATCTGCCTTAGTGATGATTCAGCATTTGAATTACGCTGCCCGTAACTATTCCCAGTTAAATTTGCCCTCTTGGGTGCTATTATTGTGCTTACCTAAGTTAAAATCTCAATGGTATTTTTTTCTAGCTAAGAGGTCTATACTTTTTTTTGGAGCTTGCAGTTTCTTTTGAAATTTCTGTGAGTAGTTTTACTGCACTTCAGTTTAATTTCCTACACTAACTTTGACTATATCAAGATCTGGAGCAGTAGTATTTAAGTGGGCCTCTATATGTCCATTCTGCATGTAATTTTTGCTCTCATCTGATTGTCTGAGCTRTGACCAGCTAGCTGACTCTTCTCTATTTTGAATGTTTTATTTACTGAAATTAAAATGTCTAGTTCTTAATTCTTGTCTTTCAGGTCTCATCACCATGGTTATTTTGAAAACATGAGCAATGGTTTAATAGGATGTCAAACACCTTACTGTATATTCACATCATGAATGTGGACTGCCTTTTACTCCCATTTGGCTCATTAAGATGCTAGCAAAGCTGTTCAGTGATTTAAGATACCTTCAGAAGTGTAATATATTTTAACTATGTATAATAAATGAAAGACTCAAGCACTTTTACGTGCTTCTGTAACAGACAGCTATGAAATGTTCAGTGATACCTGTGAAAATAATTTGAAAAACTTTTATATCTACACCTACTGTACAAAATCCTTATTAAAGCAACATTTGTTATTTGTAGTCTACGTTCACATCAGTGTGTGATCACTACAGACGCAAACTGTCTTATGTAAAACATCCACATGGCTTGCAGTTGTACATACAGAGATCGGTGCATAACACTTCTGTATTCATACTGGAAGGATGAAAGTCATACCAAATCATGGAAGAAGATTAAAATTTCCATCCGTGAAACTATGAAATAAACCATTAAATTTAGGTGAAGTAGTAGTTCTCCAATTCCTTACTTCGTTATTACAAGTATACCACTGAGTGCTTTTCTTACTTGGGGAAATAATTTCTGCAACAGCCATTTTTTTTTTATCATGAGTATTGACAGTAAAAAAATCTGTAATTAGGACCTTTCATTTTTTTTAGGGATGCATGCAATATACAAATGAAATGGCATTAATATAAGTGGAACTCGCACTGTAAACTAGTATAGAAAAAATGAACGTTTTCTAGTAGTTTAGTCTCTACCACGTATAGCAAAGGCATTCCTCTAGCCCTCCCCCCGTACAGCTCTGATAGTGGATTTCTTTTGTATGAGAAACTCCTGCTCAAATTTCATTTTTTATATTCTAGATGAGTGTTTACACTTTTTTTCATTTAAGAGCTCTTTCCCATTGTTGGTATTTCATTGTAGTTACCCAGTTTAAAAATCTTACTTTGAATGAGGGCCCAGTATTCCTGCATTTGATTTGTGCACACAAATCCTTTGTTTATTTATAAGAAGTTTCTATAATATGCTTGGATCTGTATAAAAATTGTTTTGGGAATTAATCCTTCTTTCCCCTTGCATGTTATGGATCAATTTTCTGTTCATGCATGGAGGCCTAAAGAAACCATGCAGACATGAGTGTTATTTAAAAAAAAAAAATACACAAAAGGTGAGGTTGCATTTAAGTTAACAATTACTGTACATCTCTCTTTATAATACACTAAGTCTTTAAAGGGCAATAAAATGTGTCTTTAATTTGATTCTCATATGGACTGAGATTGTGTCATCTATGAGGGTCAGATGATAACAGGGAGGTATTAACCATCCTGGGGGGAAAAAATGTTACTCACCAGCTGAGAACTTGAATCCGGTGTTGCACMTGCAGGGCTTCCTTTCCCCTTACAGACTTAAATCCTGCATCAGGGAATTCACAATCCCTATAAGCAAGTCCGGAGAGCAGCAGCCTCTTAGTCCCAAATGACCATGCGCTACCACAGACCAGAATTAGAAAGTGGGAAAAAGCAACGCAGAGACCCATAGGGACAGGGGTCTTTTTCAGAGATGTTAAAGACAAACAAAGGGCTGAGATGGGGGGAGAGTAAATTTTCTTTTAACAAGGGGATTCACAGTGTTTTTAATCGCTTTTTTTCCCTTAAATGCAATACACATACACCTATATCTAGTACCTAGAGGCTSCTTTGTAGGACTGTGGCAAACACAGAATGTCTTCAGAAATGAGACCTGAACCAGCACATATGCCTCCTCTTAAAAACACCAGGAAAAGCAGTTAGGTGTTCACGTCATTTCCTATTCCTGACTCTTAGCAAAAACAAAACAGTCATTTCCTTCAAATGGAGAAGTATTTTGAGGAAACAGTTAGCGCATTAAGATCATCCAGCAGAAACAATCATCTTGTTTACCCAGCACTCACCATGGCACCGATTCCTCAAACGAGCAGCCTGGCAGGCAGGAAACAAAACTGCTGCTAAGAGAAGCAGTTGTCCTTAGTGCCACCCCTTGGTGCACAATTCCTTCTCTGGATCAGAAAATGCTTCAAATTCCCCATTTTCTTTAATGAAAGGGATCACAGACTGCTTAAAACCACAAGAGATCCAGTGTAACTGGCTCTGGGGACAGATCTGGCCTTCAGGAAAYGGGCTCTTCCCTGTGGGGCCACAGGAAGCCCCAGGAGATGGGGGAGCGGGTCCAGCAGCCCTTATACAGAAGCCACCTGAAAAYGAACCCAGTCCCTGCAAAGGGAGCTCCTCGCTCAGCTGCTGCTGACATTTCTCCCACCAGGCCCAAGGAAGATCACTGAGCACGCAGTCAGGTGGGGACAGGCACTGCTCTTAGTCAAATAGCTCCAAGAGAAGGTCATGGCCAGAACTGCCCTCCGCAGCACCACGCAGAAATCCTTCCCTGAAGCAACTAGCCTGGAGCTTTCAAAATCAGCTACGTGCTGTTCTGGTTTATGATCTAATTGGCAAGTATCATCTGATAAATAACAAGCCTAAACTACAGAGGAGCTGCCAGATAGGTTTGGCAATGAATCACCACCTGGTCTCAGTTTCTTTTCTCACTGTTTACGTAAGATACCTGGCTTTTTCCTGGCAGATGTCAAGTTTCACCAACCCTTTCCTTTGTCAGGTATATGAATATTATATTTAATCATTCAGCGCCTTCTCCCTCTTTTGCGCCTCGCCAATCCATTCCACTCGTAGGGAAAAKACAGCAAGGGACTTGCCAAAGTCAGTAAGCTAGATCCAAAAATAMTTTGTTTACAGGAAGAAAAACTCAAATCACAGAGCGATATGCTTCACAGCTTCTGCCTTGATCACTGCAACCTCAAATTCAGGGGCCAAGCTGYATAGCAGGCCTTAAAATCAAAGGAGGTGAATTCCTGGTCAGAGCATCTCAGGTATTTTGTGCTGTGAGCTCCCTTGAGGCCTCYCGGGCAAGAAATGCTAGAAGAGGCAAGGGAACAGACTGCAGCTCAGGGCACGCAGGGCCGAGTAATCCTGGCACGACCCTGCTGTTTAGCGGCCAGCTGAGATAGGGCTCGGTGGGTGCAGAAAAACAGATTCTTTCCAATGTCCCTGTGAAATTGGGTAACTACCTGTCTCACATTCACACTAGAGAARGCACCAGCTCCTGGAGGAGAAACGTCCGAGGTTAATGGCGTTGATGACGGAGTTACTCTTTGCAGACGTAGCTCGTATTTAAGTCTGAAACTGCTGAAGCAACCGCGCTGTTTGCAGCTGCCAGCAGCCTATCACTTGCCCTGCACTGCTCCCCATAAGCCAGGGAAGATCTGAAACCGGTCCTGCAGAGTTCAGCCAGGGCCCTTTCGAGAGGACACCACAGGAGGGCAGTTTAGAAAACCTGTTCGAGAAACAAGTAACAAAGGATTGAACACACAAAAGCAAGGCAGGCAACACAGTGTCRCAACTAAAGCCAAGTAAGGGGGATTCAGGAGTGTTTTTGTTTTCCATGGAACACAACCCGTACAAAGCTCTGCTGTAAACAAATACCAGAGAGCTCTTACTTAGATAATAAACTAATATATATCAGTTCTTGAAAATTTGCAAAGCTGTATAACCACGTTGCTAATAAAAAGTGGAATCACATGCAAAGGAATGCATGCTGGTCTTGGAAATAGCAGAGAATATGCAGAGGAATAATTTAAGCAAGAGCATAATCATGATTATAGCAGCACAGTCAAAGCCATGGGTGACCTCCTCGTTATGAAGGAAAGGCTATTGAGAAAACCTACCTGAGTAACAGGTACCCTGTAATAGCCTTATAGTGGAATATAAATTCAGACTCATGTAATTGCAGTGATAAATTGGCATCAAGACTGATAAAATGGGTATCAAAGAAAGGAAAAAAAAAATTGTAATGGAGCCTAAAGTTGTATGTCCAGCTTAAAAAATAAATAATTTAAAAAAAAAAAGATTTAACAGCTTACAACAACAAAATGAGTGCATTTTTCCCTAGGAAACTGCAGATACTGCAAAAAGATACTGCAAAAGCAGCTCAAGGTAAGAGCATCAAGCCATTAGATCAGCATATCATTTGACAAATGAGAAACTATCATCAAGAGAGAAACAAAATTCTGCCCTAATGGCCTGGAATCACAGGTTCTATCAACTAAATCCATTAGCACCTTCCCCTCAGGAATCTGCCATGAAACATCAAAAGTAAACGCTGGTGCTGAAGTGAATGCACTTATCATGACAGGATCTTGACTTATTTTTTAAGCAGGAAGTTTCCTGCAACAATTTCAGTGCTATTCATCTCCGCAGAAGGAGAAAAAAAAGCAATTGTAAGAACCAAATATCTAAAAATCAGTACCTTCAGCAAAAACTGCTYCTGTTTAAGCACAGCACTTCTTTCTTATGCTGACATCTAGCAAAATAATAAACATTTATACGTCATTATTAATTGTAGAAGGAAATATTAAGTAATTAACTCATTGCAAAGCTCTTATGAAGCAAGCAACCAMGGAAGGAATTAAACTAGCACAAAAGTCTTACATTTGATAAATACCAAACCCATTTGAGAAATCTTCCTGGGAAAAAGAAATTCTTGGAGGTTTTTTGACATACATGGAACAACCAGCACTCAGGCCTGAACAGACCGTGCTTGGGTTCGGCTTAACTGCACTCAACTTCTGTCCTCAAATATTTCTGTGTTACCCAGCCAGCAACCAAAGAAAACAAGATTAATTCTTTGTTGCCTCTTCTCCCTCTCTGATGCTTCTACCAGAAAAATGCAAAAGAGGAAATAACCCAATATTTACATGGGGTCTAGGTCTTCCAGAGGCAGGGGAGCCTCATGGCTGGAGTCCCACTGCAGGGAGTGGAAAGTCATCATCAGAGAGCTTGGCAGTCAGCCCACGTTTATCCTATGAAAAGGGACTGGTTTTCCAAACCACATACCAAATACACAGGAACAGGATGCTGGGGGAAAAATATTCTACAATTAAGGATTAGGAAAAAAAAAAAAATCAAAAAATATCTTTTGGAAACAGTGAATCAAAAAATGTGAATCGAGCAAGAAATTCTTGTACAGAGTTGCTGAAAAGGATTCCTGCCATCCAAGCTCTCCTCTTTGGATTGCTGAGCTTTTAGTGGTTCCACTATAGCTGTAAACATGCAATTATATTTTCAAGTATTTTAACTTGGTGCTTGCAGGCAAAGAGGTATCAACTTGAACTCCATCTGCCAGCTGACGATGAGAGAAAAGGTGATTAGAYCAGGATATGAGGAGCTCTCTTAGTCTAATTCTAACTCCCAGGCCCCCTCAAAATAGACTTCTAAGTAAATGAGTTCTGACAAATGCACAAATTCAACAACATGAAGCAAACAGCATTTCTGAAGTGACTACTGCTAGGAAATGCACGAGCTCTTATCAGACTTGAAGGTAGTTTATAGAGCTCCACAGACTGTTCTCCGGTCATTATTTATCTTACTAGCAAATAATCTCACAGCAGCAAGATGGAACTCACAAATACAGCATCAATATTAGAAGCACAATAAATATTGTATAACTCAAAGTCTCTTAGCTTCACAAATATACAAAAGATAATGGAGAGTCATCTTCTGCTTGTACAGGTTGGTGATCATTTACATCCAAGTTTTCTGTAGAAAGGTGAAAGCAAAAAAAGAACTCGAGAGCAAATTCCGATATTAATCTTCAGGAGGACTGGGGACAGCTCTTGAATGCAGAATTCAGGTCATCTGGCTTGCTGACAACAGAGAGAAAACCTAGCAAGTTAATCTGGCTGAGGCACAGGCTGATTTTTCCTGGCATTTGTATCGCTCATCTAACTTGAAGTATCTTTTCCTCTGCTAAAAGCAGTAACCATTAAAGTGCTCCTTCCAAAAATACAGCCCCCCTGAGCACTGGCACCGTTATCAATGTTCTCTAGGCAACTATGTCATGCTGGAGAAGGTGGAAGGAAGAAAAACACCTATCAGTTGTCAAGGAAGACACGCTGGGCCAAGGCTGGGCTTAGCTGCCCACAAAACCTATGGCCCTTTTCAAGCAGAGCAGTCGGGAGCTGATCACAAAGAGCAGTTCAGAGGGGTGACACGTATGAGGACAGGAATTTTGCCTTTTCACAGGCACCTCCCCAAGTCCATGGCTACAGGAGCCTGGCGAAAAACAGATGCATGTAAAGAGGTGCAAAATAAAAAGTCCACATTATTATAATTTGCAGGGCTGCAAAATAGAGGATTATAATAGCTCTAAAGCAGACTGAGACAAGAAAGCTGCACATCTCTTTGCAGAATGGGAGCAAAGGCAGACACCTGAGAGACTGAGATCAATTAGGGAACAGTGTGTCTAGCTTAATCTATTTCACAGTTACAATCCTGAAGTTACAATCCCCTGCAGCTGGGATTCAGTATTTGCTGTTCATCAGTAAAGGGAGAATTGGCAAAATCTGTCTCTCAATCTTTARTGGGAAAATATATACATAATTTTTCTTCTTGGGTTCTCCTAGAGCTGTCACAGAACTTTAGGATAGCATGGCACCAAGTAACCAAAAAAATGGGCTGTAGATTTTAGGACCAACTCAARTGCACTTAGGGCCAACTTAAATGGATGAAGTTGGTTGCAACAAATACTTTCATTCAAGAAAAACAAAAACATTTAATCACAGATGAAAGCAAGAATGTGGTTACCACTCTAACAAAGTGCAGAAATAGCAAGCCATATTTATTTTCTTCCATTTATTGGCACTTATTTGAAAAATAGTATAAATATTCAACAGAAAAGAGTCAAGTTAACCCACACACTATTGATGCATCTTTGTTTTTAAAGGCCAGAACAGATAYGAGGAAGTTCATTCTTAACAAATAAGCAAGATTAAAAATTATATATATAATCAGTCTTGTCCTCACCATGAAACAGTGAACACAAAGTAGGTCTTTGGCACATATCTGACATTGCAAAAATAAAACTATGCCATCATAAAAGGCAAACAGACATTAAACACAAGTTTGTCCATTTGTCACAAGGATGAAGAATAGTTTGAATTGAAAAAAAAAAGACAAGTCTACAGCATGGAAGTGACTGTTACAATAATTTAAGAGGAATAAAAGCAGAAGTAAACCGCATCATACTTTACTTGAACTGAGTAAAACTATTAAATAGATTCTATTTTATTTCTGTAACAAGGATACGCTGAAACTAGTCATTGGTCCTCAGGTCACCAGGTCCGCACATTCTACACATTTTCCATTTCTACCTTTGATAGCTGCTCTTAATCAAAGCTTTACCCATGTCAGTTCAGAACAGGCTTCTCTTCCACTTCAGGAAGCTTCTGTTTATTTTTTCCTCACTTTATTACACATTATGAAGTTTTAGTGTTTAAAAATAAACATTTTGCTTCATTATTAACCACAGAGAAGAGACCACATAGCAGAAATGTGTGTGTGTGTGTGTGTGTGTGCGCAAATGAGGCCCCAGCTGGAGGGGAGTTCAATTGCATAACAGGAGTCAACCACCAAAATGAAGCTGCCCCTGGAAAATGCGAAACAGCTGTCTGTGGTGGTCTGCAGATCTTCCCTTCTGCCTTGGGAATTTCAGGGTGGAGGATCAAGAAGCCTCCTCATCCCACTGCCTTTTTAAATAAAGTACAAGAACCCATATCAGGTTACCAAATTCTAGGCTTCTAGTCATAACTGGAAGGTCATTTCAGCAGAAATAACTTGCTGTCATTACGTGGAGGAAGTGACATCAAGAGATTAAACACTGCAAGAATCTGCAGTTAAATGTTCACATCTGATCATTTCAGCCTGTACAGAAGCACTCAAGGCCCCTCATTGTTTTTCTCTAGCAGAAGTAATATATGAAGACAAATACTGTCTGTTAAAATAATGCACTTTTGAAGCACTAAATACTAAAACCCCAGGATTTAGTGTACTGTTGCGAACATCCACACTATTCCCTCCTATTAAAGATCTTTAACAAAGCATCCAGCACTCTAATACATTATCTAATAGGGAGAAGAAACCAAAAAGGTCCCCAAACCCCCCAAGAATGTTCCAGACCAAATTTGAATTTAGTCACAATGGCAGTCATGACCATAAATAAAATCCAATATATGAAAATATGACCACAATTCACCAACTTGTCCTTTTCATACCTAATTATAACACAGAACTGATTAACAGCCAATCAGAAAACATAATCATTTCCCCCCCTCCCTGCAATATTCTCACTTTCATTTCAAGAATAAAAGAATAAATATCAGGGAATAAAAACATAAATTATAAAGATGCTTCATTGGTTTCAGATTGAGGACAAACGCGAGAGTTACCTGTTACAACATCAGCACCACTATATATTAGTGAAGATACTGTTGGCTGTTGAAAAGCCAAGTCTTCTACAAGCAGAATGTATGTATAATACTTGTAACTTACACCAAAGAGACAATATCCATTGTAAATTAGCTTGTATACTGATGTCAGCATCAAATATGTGTCTGTAATTCAAATGCTTACTGTATTTTAGTAAATGTCATACAAATTACTAGAAACACRAGTTCTTCCTCAAGGAACTATTCTGAAAGTTTTCTAGAAATAACGACATTTCTGGGAGTTCCTATGAGGAACAATCACAAAGACACAGTCATACACAATAGAAAGTCTTATCGATTTCCAGATGTTTCTTAGTGTCCATCAAGCAGACTTATCTTTCTTAATTAATAGGTAACTTAGCTGAAAGATCGACTGGTAAAAATGGAGATCTGGAGTCTGAAAGTGAGACTGGAGAGTCTGTGTTGGTGCCCACCTCAGCTGGTGAGTCACAGGAAGAGCCTGCGCTGCTTCTATTGTCATCCAGACCGTGTGACGACAGACTAAAAACAAAGTGACAACAACATATATGAGATAAATGTAGTTTTTCCCAAAACATTTCCAACACTACCTTCCTTTCACTATAAAACCATTCTAAAATAAGTATGAATATCTGAACAAACAGTAAGCCCTACAATTTGAAATAAATTGTTAATAATATTCTTTAAAGATACTTCTAAACAGATAACATTCTGCCAGTTTTCTCCCTCAGTTCACCCATAAATTGCCTACAGGCTGGATACATCATGCAGACTCTGGAAATTCTAGAATTGTAGTGAATATTGTTGCCTTATTACTGTAATACTTTCAGTACTTCAAGCTCTCTTCTTTCAGRGGCCCCAGCCTAGCATCTCTACATACCAGCTGCCTCTTTTCTGAGGTGGCTCATAGATAAACCATAAGGACTCCTTGTACCACTCACTGCTTATTTCATAGGACACAGAAGTCTATAACTGTAGGTGCTGATCCTCTTCAGGTGCTGTTGAAAACTATGCTCTAAACCAAGATGCTCAGGAAAAAAAAAAAAGATTATGTTTTTAAAGTATATTTAATACATCCATTTTACTATGACCATTGCAAGGGGTTAAAAGCTTACACGCAACTACCTGCCTTTGCTGCGAGGCAGAAAGGATAAACATACTGTAAATAATTCTGTCTTGATAATTTTTTCTGTGTACACCCTCTGTGTGATTATCCTCTAAAACACTAAAGCAAAATCCCTCACTGTTTTAAGTCACTACAATTTTGTACACAGTGCTTTTTATCTCCTTCCAGCAGGGAGGGTCGGACACAGACTCATTTTCCCATGTGACTAAGAGCAGAAGCATAAAAACACCCCAGCACAGAGCACAAACACTCATATTTGATTGCCAACTAACAACTAGACTCAAAAAAAAAAAAAAAGCTAACAGTGAGGTATCTTTTCTTAAACATGCTTGACACACACACAAAAATATATATATAATCAGAAGATTGACGGCACTGGAAATTTTGAATTGCAGTGAACATTACTGTCCTTTCACTGCAGTACTTTCAGTGCTTCAAAATGTTTGGAGGAATAACAAAACAAACAAACAAACAAACAGCTTCAAACCTTCTCATTGCTAGATGATTTTATATATAAATATACATATATATTTATTTTCATCATCATYGTTTTTGATTTATTTCATGCAATAATGTAGTATTTACCATCCTCCAAGTTCTGTCTGATGTGAAACTTCAGGGGTAAGCATGCTGGAGGATCCTTGGAATAATCTTTTTGGATGATCTTCCATCTCTGTTACACCTTGATAAGGAGTGATAAAAGTATTTCTCATTTATGCTAGATCTATTTTCAGTGTATTTTCACAGAGCAAAGTAAATAGAGGTTCAAACTTATTACAGTTTGAGTCTACTGTACCTTTTCTTTTCATTGACCCAAGAACACTTGGTCGAATGCAATTAATAGGGCTCTGGCTTCTCCTGCTAAAAGAAGACAGACGCTACACTGATGTTATCATCATTAATATAGGGAGGTCCAAAACAAGCAAAGAATCAAAAGTTGTTCAGATAAACAACTAAAAGGAAAAATGCTAAAAATACAGGTATTAAAAGAGCCTATTTCAAAATACAATATATATATATATATTTTGGAGACAAAGAAATATAAACCTTTAAAAAGTCATATGATTTCACAACTGGGTGAAATAGTTGAAAAGCTCAAATCTAGGTATTGACTAGATCTCAGCTGACTGTCCACATTTAATTGAACTTAAACAAGTCAACTGAAGCCAAAATGCCTAGGATTCCCCTAAAATCAATATTTTCTTATAATTCAAATCAATATTTTCTTATAATTCAAATATTTAGTGTGTGATTAAAGGGCATTAGGCTACACCGCAAAATCAGAGCATGAAATGTAGCCCAGTTTCAGATGTTAAGATATACAGTTTTAAAAACAAATATGTGGGCCGATGTAAAATCTACAGATTAAAAAACAATATTTGTGATTAGAAATCAATTTTAAATTATGCATACAATAAATTTTGAGATTTCCAAAGCCTAGTGTGAACAAGCTATGCCCCCTTCCTGTTATTAAGGTACTTACCTTGAAAATCGCCTTGTTGGACTTGGGCTAGGACTTGGAGGTAATCCACTACAGCTCACGAAACTTTGCAAAGATGGTGAAAAACATTGCTGAGAGCAAAACAATTGGAGTTACTTATGAGGAAACACTGTATTATACCCACATAATAACAACAGTGCCTAATTACATCTAAACAACCACCATCTGCCAATTTAAAGCAATCAGCCAATATTGATACACCACTTGTAGTTAAGGAAGAGAAAAAAAATCTAGAAAAACTTGGACAGGTTTTATTTTGATGCAGAATATATGCAGGTTGGCAAGCACTTATTTTGCTATAGTCCAATTAAGCAAGCTAGCTAATAAAAAGAAAATGTATGCCTCTTTCTCTTACTCTAAGGGAAGGCAAATAAAGAATATTAGCAACAGGTTAACAGAACTCAGAAATTCACACCCACATTTCCAACTACTAGGTGTTTTTTGCTGTTTCTGGATTTTAGATTTTTGTTTTACTATCTAGTTTCTTGACTGCAGTTGAAGTAGAAAGGAGAAGGCAAATTCTTCTGCTATTAATTTGGTTTATTTAGCACAATTCAAGATAAAACGTTTACTACATTCTGCTTACCTTCCCTATTCCCCTGGTAGGTGAAGGAGCTGGAGAAACCGGGACAAAGTCTACTTGCTTTGGTGATGATGACTTTTCAAAATCATTGTCACTCTGTAAATAACACATAAAATAATCTTAAAAACAAGTATTTTAACATAGAAAGAAAGAAAAAAAGGACTGTTTTGTTTGGAATTAAGACTCCAAAGTTATCCTCATTCATATTTATCTTGTTTTATGTAGATATTTATGAGAACATATAGTAGGCATAATAARAGGAGTCTTAAACATTATTTGCTGAGTACCAGAAAATGGAAGAAAGTTTGGACAGACAAAATTTTCTTTTTAAATATAATCCCAATAAATCCACCTATATCCTTGAGCAACTGGATTTTATGCCTTGTTAGTACTGCTGATCAAAAGCACCAATATATTAATTCCATCATTTCTAGATCAAATTACATAGGAAAATGTTGACATTAAAGTGTCTAGAGTCCTAATATTGATAACAAAAATTAAACTATGACTGCATTACCAGGCTCAAGCTCTCCTCCCACGACTGGCTCATCTGCATTGCTACTTGTACTTCTCTACAAAGAAGAAAAGAAATGTGTTGTCCCAAGCCTATAAAAGATTTTATTAAATATACTAAATATATTTTGCCTGMAGGTTTACCTTTCATGTACTGTTTCTCTGTTCATCAAATTCATCCCTTCTTCCTAAAAGAGATTAGCAGGTGAAAAATAAAAACTTCAAAAAATAAACAAAAAAGTTTGCTACAGCAAATCAGAAAAATAACCTTCAGTTCACTCAGGTATTGAGSCAATATAATTCAACTACCTCAAGCAATAACAACCTTAAGTCCTTATTACATGAGGCAAACAGGGTGAAAAAGAAAGGAAAGGTATAAACTGCCACATAAAAAGCATCGCTTATGGGATTTGATTGTTTCTCAATCAGTTTTTTCATTTTCATCAATATTCAAAATAGTTACAAAACTGAGCAAYAACGTGACCAAAGCTTTTATGCATTTGCTCTTGTGCCCCTCCCCTCCACTCATGCTGCAATTGCACAAGTACAGTGACCCAGATAAAAAAAATGATACAGATGAAAAATAGTCCATCCAGAAGTCTCAGCTATTTTTCAGTCCTATGGCTTCCTTATCCAGTTCATTTTCTGGCAGCACAAATTCTTGTGTGAAACAAAGAAGGGTTCTGAACTTATGCTGGCACTGCACCCAAAAATGTGCAAAAAATGTGCAAARCTTTACTCCAAGGGTTTAGCTTCCTTACTAAAAAGTCTGCTRTAGGATTTGTCTTCTCCTTCTGCTCAAACCATCTTCTCTGAGATCATSATCTTTTCCTTTTATAAAATTTGGAGCTCTGAAAACAGATACAACCTTAACTTTTGAAAGCATTTGGAATGGATAGACTGTTACAGACCCTGTACTACTATTTCAAAGCAAAAATCAATAGTTATGTGAAGGACATTATACAGTAATGGGAAATGAAAACAGCTATAAGCAACTTAATATTTCCAAAACAATTGAAGATGTGTATACCTGTTTGATTTGATGGAGACGGCTGCTAGGAATACGAACAGGAGATGACGGCACAAACTGCAAAACAAAGTCACATACAACTGAAATGGTCTTWAAAAACACAGGAGAAACTAAGGAAAAGTGTTAGGGTGTTAGTACCAACTCTAAAATGTTAACACAACCACAAAAAAGAATCTCTCAAATGAAAGTCAACTTTTAGGTTCTGCAGAGCATAGGGAGTATATTAAGTACTTAAAAGAAGATGGCATTATGCATTTCCATATCATACTGGTTTGCATGCTCAGAGATGCTAACATATATCAATTTCCCTCTCATTTCAGCTCCAGGTTATAAGAGCTCAGTCTTTTTTTATAGAAATAAAAAGTTGACCTCTAAATAGCACACTGCCAGCCTTAATAGATATGGCTGCCTAAGTATTTATTTGGTTTTTAAGTAGTCCAGAACATGTCATACCCAAAATTCTGCCTCTAAGTATTATTTTTATATTTATAATTTTTATATTAAATTATATACGCCCCCACATATATACAAAGCCTTTCTTCTTTCAAAAATATTAGCCTCACACACATACATAGCATGGTCCATCAGGCCTTAGTCATCATACTATASACTACTACAGGCTGGCAGTTATAACGTTTTCTTTAACTATTAGCTAGAAAAGRTATTATCAGAAGCCTCAGTAGCTTTTAAAGGACACTTGCTGAAGCAGATTAAACTCATTTGTTAAATCTAACTTACTTTAATACTAGGTGCTTAAGAGAGCACGAGCTTAACAGAAGACATTAGAAACAACTGGAATTTGGGAGGGTGCTTCTCTTCCACATGTGAAGTCAGATCGGAGCAATAACTTTCTCACGGAGGGAAAAGTTCCACAAATACCAGTTTGGCTAAAGAGCCAAAGGAAGCAGCCACCTGCCCCTGGCACCTAAGCCTTGCCATTTCCCTCCCTGCACTGCCCCCTGTCTTTTGCCAACACAAGCATTTCTGGGGCCACAGGGGACTGTAACAGGAAACTTGTTTAGCTTTAAAAGAAAAAAGAAACCAAACAACTGCTTTTGCTGAAACAGGAGCCAAGCATCTAACCACAGCCTAAAATGTRCTAAGAAAGCCATTTACTCAGTAAATGCCATTGGTAACTTCTGAGAGGAAATAGCCACCGTTGAGCCTTCCTTGGCAGTTAAATTTCATAGGAAAAACCCACAGGTTTAAACCTAGTCAGAATGGCAGAGCTGCTGCTAAAATCATGACTAAAGAGTTGGAGCCTGGGACTTGGAGAAGTTAGTCAAAAAAGTTAAAGAATATTTTTGTATTTAGCTGAGCAGCTGGGACACAGCAGTCCTGAAGATGGAGCTAGAACATGACCTTCAGTTACCACCGAAGCATTTTATCAGCTCCCATGTGTTTTATTAGCACAAAAAAATAGAGAATGAGAAATACTAGTTACTATTCACTAAATGTTACTAAGTGTTTTTTTCATGGCTCAATATAGCACAAAACATTAGCTGTATTTATAACACTAAGTTAACAACTTTCAGTAACTTTCTGAACCTTTTCTCCCTCCTTATTGCAGTCTAAATGCAATAATACTTTTTAAATAAGATAGGAATATTACTTTTTTAAGCATCAGAGATTATCTCTCCAATTATTGATCAGCAGTCCATCTTATATAATTAGTTTTCTTTGCAAAGTATCCTTCCTATTCCATGTTAGAATATCTGCATGCATTTTATAAACAAAGTTATGATCACAATGGAATATAAGTGCTCATCAAGGCCCAGTGGTCTGCAAATAATATTTCACTATAGCTACAGCCTATTAATGTCACAGTCTAAAGCACTGTTTCTGAAAGCACGCAGTCTTAGTTTTATATACTTCATAGCCTCATAGCCTTGCATTAGTGTGGTTTTTGTTTTTTTTTAAATTTTGTTTGTGCACTTCTGCTTTGGGCTTAATGTGGTGTGTCTGATCATTTTCTTACCAGACTATGACGATTCATAACTGTTGTGCTGTTCCTGCGGGTTCGCAAAACGTTAGCCTGGAACACCTGTGAATTATCACTGCAAAAAGAAAGACTCATCAAACACAAGACCCATTTCCTCCCCATCAAAAATACTTCTTAACATAATCTCAGTTTCTAGTTCTAAGACAGCAAGCATTTCAAGGCAAAGCATTTGAGACATCAACAAATGTCTGTTAGCCCAAGTCCCAGCTACTTCACTTTAACGACGCTGATTAATCATACTGAGTTGTCAGAGTAACTGCACAATTGTTAAAACTGAACATTTCTGGGGGAATTTGTTAAGTCTGGAATGACTACAAACTGCCTCTTCCTTCAAACAAGTCATTCAATATAACACATTTGGAAATGGCATATGATCACTAATTGAAAGCAGCTTCAAGGCCAGTAGAATTAAAAATACAGTACTTCAAAAAATGTGGTTAGGAACATGTAGTAAGAAATGACTTTTATTTTTTTAAGCAGAGGCTAAATTAAACATACTGCAAATGTAGTTTTAAAAGTTCTAAGACTTTTAAATCAGGTAGGAAAACATCCATTAAAAATAACATTACTTGAATATAACCTGCTCTCATTTTTTCCAAGAAGAAATTGAGTTCTATTGATTCCTAAAGTCAGTCATCATCCTGTCATCACTGCTACTACTAACAGCCATTGATCTGTATTTAATAAACAAAATTACTAAAATCAAATAAATGTTTGTGGTCGTTAGAATTAAAATGCAGAGCCACAATCCTGCAATCTCTGTGCTTAAAAATCATTGAGAATCTGCATAGGCACACATATCAAAACGTTAAGAACATAATTAGATCCTAAGCAGAAAAAACCCACAGGGTTCTGTCTTGGTCGCAAATACCAGCCTTGGGGAACAAAAGCATTTAGCAAAACACTACTCCTTGAAACTAACCTGACCCGTACCATTACCTTGTTCTAAAGGCTAATAGGCAAACTAAATTACCTTAACTGTACTTAAAAGACACATGAAAGAGCATCTTGCAGTTTAAAAGGCACCAGTTAGGTGTGCATGTTGTAAATTTACAGCTAGGTAAAAGCTAACAAGAAAGTTTGGAAATAAAAAGCCAATATAAACTCATCCAAAATAGCTCTAGTCGCTATTAAAAGTGCAGTGTTTTCACCACAATGAACACATTGCCCCTCTTTTTCTAGAATGTCAAGTACAAATGCATAGACATCATTCAACTCTAAAAAAAATTCTTTCGGGTTATATCTACAAGAGACCAAACAGCTGTGATTTGATAGGAGCCAGAACAGAGAAATTCAGGGCTCTGTGGTCTGAAGCTGAGAGATCAGATTTAGTGGCTGAGGACACTAAAGTTACAGCTTCTTTTTAGTACATATGTATTTATACACAAACATACAGTTTAAACAGTATGTTCTGAAATCTGGGCTTTGAAAGGAGAAAACAGAATTGAAAGATTCTCTAATCCTTTATCATAGGCCCAGTCTAATAATTCAGTGCTAACAGAAGAAAAAAMGGAGAGTAAAAATGCTGCAAGGATCCTCACCTTCAAGCTCCTGTGCAAAACCACCAGGGCTGGTCAGATCTCAAACTCCCTTTTGACAGAAAATTCTGATGTTTCCCATGAAAAATCATTTTGATTTAGCATGAAAACAGGCACTGAAATTTCTGTGAAAGGTAAATTCCACGGTCTAAAATACTGCACCTAAAAACGTTCTCTGGTTCCAAGAAACCCATTCCCAAGGGTTCTTATTAAAACTGTTAATAGAGAAACCAAAAGAATATAGAGTGGCAGAGCAGAAAAAAAAGAAAGCTGTCCAAGGGCAGAAGCTTTTGTTTCCGTTTACCTTACAGAGYCGTTCCATGAAAAAAATGAAGTTTCTTGCCAAGAGCCGCAATCTTTCAAAAAGACTTGGAAAATTCCTAAATAACAAGCCAACCACTGCAAACACCTGAAATTAGTTTAATGGGATCCTGTTTATTTGTATAAACACCTGCTACATGCACAGTTTCAAGGTAAGAGCTGAGGCTTATTGTTCTCCTCCCTGCTCAGAGCCCAAACATGGGCTTTTATATTTTGTTTACAGCATGATTATAGAGTAATTAAAAAAAGAAAAGCAAACAAACAAAAACCCCTTAAAGATCTCATAGCTCATAAGAAAAATATTATAGGGCTGAGGAGGTGATGAAAATTATGTAGCTGAGACATAGGCATTTTAATTTACCTGCTTCAGAATGTCTCTGCAGAACAACTACTACACATAAATATAGGTATTTCCTTATACTTTTATATATATAAAATGCAAACATACTTACTTAACGTTGAATCATTACATAAGAGGCAAGAATTGGTATTTTATTTGAAATATTAGCCATTTTGGAGGAAAGGATTTATAAGATTTATTCATGAGTTGACACACAGTTCCTTATAGAAATGTGATTTTTTTTAAGTCCTTATCTTGCACTATACCACCTTTTGCACAGTTTGCTCTCTGTGCTCTCCCATAGTGCGGCAGGCAGACTGCAGGCAGCAGCACGTCGACCACCTTGGAGGCAGATGTTAGCCCACCAGGGAGGACAGCAGATGCCTCCCAACTTTATGGCAACCCGGATCATGCAAGAATTAGGATTCCTGAGCTCTGAACTCACCTGAGCACAAARCCTCACACAGATTAGGCCCAGCTGAGCGCTCTCCTCCCAGCCCCGACCCAGGGCTGCTACTGTCCCTGTCCCATCCGTGGGGCAGAGCTAGAGCAGAGCCACAGCACAAATGTCCACCCAGGCCACCCTGCCCGCGCCTGCTGTCACCAAGCTGAACGCAATACCCAGCCAGGCTCTCTGCAGACCCCTCGCCCTTCTCCGGGTATTATACACACCCCGCTAATAAATCTCCATCTCCCTGAATGGTTTATGGAATAACTGACGTGCTGCTTTATACATAAAAGGGCAACTTTGGCGTCTCTCAGGGTCCCATCCAGGGATGCTCCTCACCGGATTAGCCTGGTTCTTCCAGAAACACTTATGGATCTTTACGAAAGATACTGAATGTCCTTTGGCAGGGGTAAACTACTACATAAAGCACACGGCGAGCTGTCCCATCTCTAATTACGGCTCAACCCACGCGCCGTCAGACCCCTCCTCGGCGGGGCAACAAGTGCGCGGAGCGGGAGGCGGGAGAACAAAGCGCTCGAGGGCGCCGCGAGCTGCGCGGCCGCCGAGCCCCTCCGCAGGCCGGGCCCTCTCGGCCGGGCCCGGCGGGCGGCGCAGGCCCCGCGGGCGGCGGGCGGCCCCTCACCTGAGCCCGTGGATGAGGGGGGCGCTGTTGGAGCGCCTCAGGCCGCCGCCGTCGCCCGGCGCCGCCGCGCTGCCCGCCGGCAGCTCCAGGTCCAGCTCCATTTTCTCCTGAGCCATCGCCGCGCTGCCGGACCCGGCTCCTGCCGCCACGCCGCGACGCCCATTCACTGCCGCCGCCCGCAGCGGCTCCTCATGCCGCCGCCGCTTGCCCGGCGCAGCGCGGCCGCCCCTACAGGCCCCGCGGGCGGCGCCGCAGGCAGCGTCCGGGGGCGCGGCGGGCGCCG